AAGTTTGTTCGTCGCTGTCCGGAGCTGCATGCGTACACGGCTTTTATACTTCTATACCTATAATAAACTAGTACTATGAGCGTGTCTGCTCATTTCTATCGCATAGCAAGACTTTGAATAGCAGTAGCATCAGTAAATGTACGCGCAAAGCTTTTTACTTCATTTTTAATAAATAAATGGAGTATTGCTCTTATTCCCGGAGGCTGCTGCTGATGCTGCTGTTGCTGCAAAGTCACTATCGAGGGGTGGCTCTCGAAAAGAAAGAAGGGATGCGCGAAAGGGTCGCGGGGGTAATGGCCGGACAGTGTGCCGAGCCATGATTTCAAAAATCTTGAGTCACACTCGCTGTTATACAGTTGCAGATATAGTGCAAATGTGTTGCAAGTCACGTTTACACGAGCTCGTAGCATTAATTGCGGAAACCGAGTTTTCCCAGTGCGACGTTTATTCGCGGATTCCCGGCGCATTAATGTGCTAAGTAGTATGCGTCGAGAAAGTGGAACATAACGTGGCCTCTTAATTTATAAATCATCTACTCGTATAGCCGAAATAAATAAAACTAATTATATTATTATATCGTGATTAATTTACGGATCGATGAACGACTGATTCGATTTCACCTCGTCACTGCATTGGTAGATCGGTATGTAAATTCGCATTATGCATCAAGATGTATCTAGAACTGCGCATTTAATTAAAAACGACCCGTACGTGCGAAGGGCTTGAAATAGTACAAGATTTCGGACGGGAATATACATATCGAGTCTCCAAGTCTTTTTCGCGCAGCTACATAATTCAAGCTCACAATCTCATTCGGCGCGATCGTACAATTAAACTCGCTGCGGATTCTCTCAAACGTACATGCGTATATAGATATATTATACATATGTAACGCCTATAGAGCGCATGAAGCTATAGTTATACATGGACGCCCAGTGGATGTCTCGTCAGCACATATACCAGCCACCCCCCGACGCGCGAGTCTTTGATTTATACGCCTCGGACTTACTCGAACACGTATCTCACGCTCAGCAGCGACGCTGCGATTGATTTGTGTTCGCGTTTTCTTCCCCCAGCTCAATGTGCGCGTGTGTGTATATATAACGTCAAATTTGCACTGCTCCAACATATATATGTATATCTAGTGCGACGCTACTAATTCAAAGAGGCAAAATTTATCGCGTGCGAAAGAGCAGCGATTTGCTTTGAGCGTCAATGATGCGCAGAAAATGTTTTTATCTCCGACGATAGACGAACAAAGATCGAAAGGATATAAAAAAATTAATTGAGGAGTAAACAATGATTATAATTTGATAAATTTTATCGCAAATATAAAAAAAATGTTCACTCTCTCGAAGTTTATTAGCGCACCGAATAATGGCCGTGTCGCTTCCATACCATTACGCTAAAGTATGCACACATTTACGAGACAAAATATTGGCCGAGCGTGAGTCGAAGCCCCGGCTCGTTATTACCCATATCAATAGTCGATTTGCCATTTGGCGACGTGTCAAAAATTCGCTTTTATCCCTTTCCAAAATGCGGAGCAAATACCTGCTCTCTCGGAAACAAAAATGTCGTCTGTGTTTTTTTTTCATTCTCATCTGCATGCCTCGCTAACATTATATATAGGATGGAACAGCTGCTCTGGCAAAGTGCCTAAAAAACTATTTGCGACGCGCATCGATGTACGGATATATATCTATATAAATGCCTTGCCAACTAATCCGGGGAGAGGGACTCGGCGGCGCAGGGTGAGTTCCGTTTGCCGTACTGCCAGGGCCTGTATAAATTTCCAAAGAGACAATTTTCTATTACTATTCTTGTGAACAGGAAATCGAAGCAAGACACTTCCTCTCGCTCTACGGCCAAATCGTGTATACACGGGGTGGTGTTTACGGCAGTATTCGTTACGACGTTAGCTCTCTCTCTCTCTCTCTCTCTCTGCAACGTCTCGAGACTTTTAATTGAATTTGCTGCTTCGTGACGTGCGATGGGGGCATTCTCCGAATAACAATTCTAAACACGAATCAATACCATTATGCATTGTATAGCGGAGTCGCGCGAGCGGAATATGAATTTTCCCTTCATGGTATAACTGACGAACGAAAAACAAGTGCACGTGAAAACAACGAGTAGCTTTTTAGTCAGCGATGAAAAAAAAATCGAAAGCTCGCAAAACAATACGTATATGCTGCACTTCTGCCTCGAGAGCTCGAGCTGCATACATGCTTAGCCAAGTGAAGTTTCGCCTCTGTTGGGCTGAACAACAAACTTCGCCCAGGGAGAGAGAGAGAAAGAGAGAGAGAAAGAGGGAAGTTTTAAGTTGTTTAGCTGGTCTCAAGTGTTTCACACACCGACGGCCGCGTAATAATCATGCGAAGGAACATTTTTTAACCGCTGTAATATCTCGCCCATCGTGACGTGTTCTCTCGGCTAGATTTTAACGATAGTACACGCCAGCAAAAAAATGGTTTAATCGCGCACGCGAAATTAAAGTTTTTCTCCGTATTCAAGAGAAAAAGAGAGAGAGAGAAAATAAGTATGAACAAGCAAACTCTATGTAAATTCGTATGATATGAAAATTGCATGTGCTGAGCTTGCACGTTACACACGATGTATAAACTTGAGTAGTACGCGGTGCGGTGTGCTTCGCACCCGGAAGCGCCTTGCTATACGAGCGTGTGTATGTGTGTGCAAGTGTGCATGTGCGCAGTTCTATAAAGGCAGTACAGCTGCCAGGAAAAGCTGTGCCCCCGGGAAAAACTGCAGTGCGAGCTTCTCCTTCGTCTTGCCAAAAAGAATTTTCTTGACTTATAACTCAGCGCGAATCAGACAACAATTTTCCATGTCAATGCTTTTAATACGTCCGTTTTTCCCGCTCTTAATTCTTTCTTATTCAGTGCAACAATTATCCAATTGAACTTTATACATTTTTGCATGCTTACCCAAGTAACAACGGCTTCTTGAAATAAACCATATACTAGATAACAGAGCGCAAACATTTTCATTAAAAATTCGTTGAAATTTGAAACAATTAGAGAGTCGTATGGAGCCAACTAACACGTTATTTAATCAATAAACTACTTTTGGAAGTGAATCTACCTTATAAGCGGTACTAATTTTATACGCTCAATAATTTTCGTAAAATGACGTATTTGCAGCAGGTCGGCGCAGCCATTGTTAATTAATAATGTAGCATCAGTCGATAAGCCACGCCGCACATCATCGATCAATTGGGATTTCTCCGCAGAGTCAACAAAATGCCTAAAGCTCGCGAGTCATATTTACCAGAGCTGATCCTTTAAGCTTTTTACAATTACGCCATAGAAAATGTAAAATTATCCAAACAGAGAGGGAGAGACAAGTTGCTGGGCTACGTGCTCGTGCAACAAATAAATATTTATCTCAGGCATGCACCACGTGTTCCACTGTCTAAAATTGTGAAACCAGTTGGATGGCAAATTTGCCTACACATCCAGCCACCCACACTCGCAGTAGCTCTAACGATGGAAGAGGGAAGGGATGGCAAAAAGGAGGTCGAGGTGCATTCACCCTCGCGACCGGGCGTCGTTGCTGCGGCGGCGCGCGACCTCGGCCCCGGCAGAGCAATGCTCAGCAGCAGCAGCAGCAGCTAACTCTCTAGCACCTAGAAAACTGTTGCAACCCACACCCATTTGCGCGAATGCGTACGTATGGGTGTGTATGTATGTGTGTGCGAGTGTGTGTGTAGATATAAAGTTGAACGAGCCCGAGGTTGCGAAAGGTCACGCACCCTGTCGAACGTTCACCTCTAGCCTCTCGCTCTCCTATATCTCTATATGCGCGAGTATCGAGAATTCTAGATGACGCCGAGCATCCTTGTTGTATATGAGTCACATGTAGAGGATGCCTGAAAGTCTTTAATGGTGATGCAGTTTAGTTTCTTTGTACGATGCTTGGCAGATGAACTAGCGTGGAAAAGTTCGCTAATATTTTTTCTAATGAAACTAAATTATTTTTTAAATTTGAACTATTTAAAAACCAATGCAGACACTTATTTCGAAATTTTCAAAGTTAATTTACATAGACTGGAAAAAATTGTTTTAGACTTATTTCTCATTTTGTCAAAATTGATCATATCTAATGTCATTTAATGTTTTCGTGAGAACCGAGCTCTAGTTCACTTTTAGAAATAACAAATACATAGTTGATTCATTTTTACAACTGCGATTTTTATAATTAAATTTTGAAATGAAATAAACTAATTAAAGAAATGTAATCTTTTTATTGAATTAATGAAGTACCTATATTATAAAACATACCTATATTATCATTTGAGCCTTTTACCTTCTGTGAATTTTCAATAATTTATACCAAAGCTGTTCGTGAAAAATTTGAAAAGTTTAAGTTAATTATTCACATTTCCCATCGACGCTAATTTAATACATATTGTACAGCTACTCAAGACTTCTGATTCGAAACGATCCATTTTAAGAGACTGCAGAACTTAATTTTGACAATTTTATAATTTATTTCTCTATAAAAAAAGAGTTTAATCTATTTAATATTACTTCACAAGAGTAATAGATTTATAATTCAAATTTAACAGTTCTTCTTAACTTAAAAACTACGCAGTCGGTCTCTAATTCAAATCAGTCTAACAGACTATATAGTATGAGTTTAGCTTTTTTAAGGAAACCACTTTCAGAAAACGCGTGAGCAAGCACACAACAACTTGACTATCTTTTACAGAATATTACTCGCTCTCTCATATATATAAGGTATAAATTTTGCGTCTTTTCATCTTTCAGTAGATATACAGCCAGTAGCCTTTGAATAGAGAAAAATTACAAAAATTAATTATTTATCTTCTTACGTTTGTTGACGCTGCGTCTAAAATGATTTTTCTCTTTGTCTGACAATGTCTTTTGTTCGAAAATTAAATTAAGACTACAATATTCAAAAATATATGAAAAGCGTCAACTTAGTGGCAATATTATTGTGACAATTTGATTGTATTACAATATTAATGGTGTTTATTAGTTAAAAATATTACAGCATTTTACATTTTTAATGTATTCTATATTTATTCAATCTCTGATTTTATTACACAAACTATATAATAGCATATCAATTTAATGTAAAAGTATTTGAATCAGAGGTTATAATGAATACTTAAAACTAGTCCTTAACTTCTTAAAATTTCTACTTTTCGATTGCAATAAGCGAAAATGGAAATTATTCTCTATTATTTTATATGATAGTTATTAATATTTGTAAAAACATCCACTAGTCATTTGTGAAAATATCAGAATATTTTTCAATTATTTTGCGCAAGCTATTGATATTATTATTAAAATTATCAGTCTCTGCACATCTTTATATAGAAATAATTTAATATTTACAGTTTTTATGCTAACTTTTTTAGACATTCGTTTTAATAATTAATGTTTTAAAGCTTAATGAGTTTTCAATGCTTAATTTCAATAACGAAGTACTTCTTGTAACCTTTGTCTGGCTGCTAAAACTTTTTCTTCTTGTTTTTTGATATCTTCGTCTGTTATTGTAACAGCCTAAAACAAACAAACAAAATATCCATGTTATAAAATCTTTACAAATATAAATCAATTTATTTCCACCCATAATATGCTGTAATAATGGAAAAAATTAAGTGCATTATATAAAAACATTTCTAATTTATAAAAGTTAATAAACCATTTATGCCTCTAATGTTGCAAGTACTACTTTTCTCAAGTACCTGGATAAAAAATAATATTTACTGTATTATGAATATAGTAATAGTATACTATAATTTAAGATTTTAGTTTTAGGGCTGAAAATGTTACTTTCTTAATAGGTATCAAGTTAAAAATTTTATCTATACTTAAAACTAAATTATAGAATAGGTAATTGTTGCGAACTAGCAAAATTCTAATATCATAGAGGTTTTAATCAAAATCCTAAAATTTTTTTTAATTTTATCTATTTGCAATGATAAGATAAATTTATAATATTTAGTACATTTATGTGATAAGCTTGAATAAAATAAGTACAAACAATAAATTCTATATTTTGGAGCTAAAAATCAATAAAATATTTGGCTCTAACAAACTAAACCATGTTATACACCCCAATGTAAAGTTTTCATAAACTTCAGAGGTAAAAACACCTTTAATCCAATATAAAAAAGATACCAAGATAAGTTTAGATATTCGCTAAGCAGAAGAGAAGCAGCAATATTTTTTTACAATCATTTTGTGATTTTGATTATATAAAGTACAGCAAAGCTAGCCCAACATGCAAATTTTCTATTCCATTTTTTGAAACTTCTAATGAACATTTTTCTGAAAGGCTCTATCGTTTCCTGTAGAACAGCAAAATTAAGGTAACCATAAAGCCTCATATAGAAATGTACAGTAGTAACAACACCACAAAACTTGATTAAAAATTTTATTTTTGAGCTGGCTTTGCCATTGTCTTAAGTGTGCATTAAGAATAGTATACCTGTAGTAATGGTTGATCAGGATTCAAGAATGATCCAGGATTTTTTTCTAATTGAGCTTTAAGTGCAGTTTGCCCAGTAACAGGTCCTGAACCAACGTGCAATGCTGTTGCTACACTTTGAAGAACTGTTTCTTCAGAAACGTATGGACCAATAGGTTTCAGAACTTTTGGAAGTTCCATTCGACTGAGTTCATAACCTTTAGAATCACATGCTCTTAAGCCTTCCAACCTTTTTTCCCAAAACAACTAGAAATATTAAAATTTATTTTAATGAATAATTTGAAATGTTTCAGATTTCATAAAATGATTTTCACAAAAGTTTCAAAAGATTTAATTTTTTAAATACTGAAAAGCCTAATTTGAATTAAATTTTTATAATTCATCCAGAAAAATGTCAGTAGTTTTGAATTTATAGATAAAATTTACTTTTTCTTAAGACAATTAAATTTAATGTTAATCATTATTTAATATAGTTCAATAATCTGATGTGATACCAAAATTTGTACCCATAGATTTATATTGAAAAATGTTCAGTTATGTTATAAATATTGTTTATTTACTTAAAAGTTAAGTAGTCTAGATTAATCTTAATGTCAAATTAAATGAAATTTTGCTTGACATTAAAACTATTGTTTTTCAACTAATGATTCTACATGCGAGATATTTTATCGTTGCAGTTTTTTTGATAAGTTAGAGATTAACATTAATTTCATCATTGTCTTACAAACCTGTTTGGGCTTGTCTTTATTATTCATTCTATTTTGCAATTGCTATAAGACTCTTATACTATGATTTTTTATTGGTTTACTAACCTGTTTGGGCTTATCTTTTTCATTTAGTCTAGTCGGTGGATCCTTTACTACGCTTTTGTGATTTTTGATTATTGTTACTGGTTGCTTGAAAATGGATGCAGTTTGCCTGATAGGAGCTAGCAAGGAAACATCCTGTTTAACAGGTCGACTGAAAAATCAGTGAATAAGTTTTGTTAGTGTCAATTTTTAAGTAGCAATCATAACATAAATTTAATTTTTCGTTATATAAACGATCTTTAATTAATAATTTTTTTTAGTAAAAAAATAGCTTCTTTTCAAATAGGTCTTGAAAATAATTTGATCAGTTCATAATTGATCATAACAGATAATATCAAGACAATTTTATGAATTAACTCACTATGAAGTTTATAAAGTGGTATGAAAATTCAATTCTACCATGAAATAACATTTTAATACATAACTTGTGCTATTTATGCAAATACACATTATACACATTAAATGTAAATGAATGTACCATCTATAAGGTTATCACTGTATATTAGGGAGGTTATGTACTAGTATACAAAACATCAAATGATAAAAAATTGTTTAAGTGTAATACCTGTAATAATAAGGGTCTTTGGAGGCAGTTGTCAATTGTTGGGGTGCTGTGGCTAGGGGAGCTTGTTGTTGCTGTTGTTGTTGCTGTTGCGGTTGATTATTATTGCTTTTTCTGGGAATTTGATGTTCCTCTCTTTGATTCCAATAAGGCATTGCAGCTTGGCCATAATACTTTTTTTTATCAATGGACATATTCATGTTGTCAAGATTGTTTGTTTGTCTATGCAGCAAAAAAATTCTTAAGATTAAACAATGCTATAAACTAAACTAGCGAGTTTATTGAAAATAACACGATTGCCGCGAAATGACAAAGAAAACACAACATCGAACAACTCCGACTTTGTATGCAACTGTGAGAGAGTAACCAGAACGAGTGTAGAGTGTAGACTGCAGATATAATAATAATATTGAAGAAAAAGAAACTTTCGCGATTGATCAAACGATACGCATGCGCCGTGCTTTTTATCTGAGCGCTGGCGATGGCGGTGACTGGCGAGTGGCGACTGGTCGCTGGCGAGTGATGTCGGAATTTGGATTAGTGACCACGAGTGAAACACGAATCTCACGAAATTTTGAGAATTGAGAAATCGGGCGGGGGCGAGAAATTCAATCAAGGTTGAATTTGTAGTACAGACTACAGATTGGTAAAACCTGAAATGATAAATTGGTGTAAAATAATGCATCAATCGAGTTTCAACAAATATAGAAATTATCCATGTTTTTTTGCTTCATTTTGAATTTAAAAAACCACTACGGACCTCTAGCATATCATTTTAAATGTAAAGACCATTAAAACAAGTTTTCAGCTGAAGTGAGTTTTTAACCAATTTTTATGGTTGACGGTTTAAACTCTTTGTAATAGTTTCTCCTCCACTTAAGTGTAACAGAATTTTGGAAAATTTCATAGGAACATTTGTATTTTTATTTTACAATGCTATATAAACATTTATATGAATACAATTTCAGTATTTTTTTATTTCTTGTACATTTATAGCCATACATTTGACAATTTTCAAAATTCTGTTACCGTTGAGTGGAGGAGAAACTTTTACAAAGACCGTTTTTTAAATCGTCAACCATAAAAATTGGTTGAAAACTCACTTTAGAATCCTGCGGTTAGTATTTATCGAAGCTGAAAACTTGTTTTAGTGGTCTTCACAGTTAAATTGATATGCTAGGGGTTCATAGTGGTTTTTTACATTCAAAATGAAGCAAAAAAACGTGGATAATTTCAATATTTGTTGAAACTTGATTGATGCATTGTTTTACAATCATTTTAGGGTTTAATACTGGTGTGTCCCGTGTAATACGATCGCATCGGAATAATACATTTTGATCGCATTAACCGGCAGACCATATTAAACGTTGTCTTAAGTAAATAAATGTTATTTGTGAGAAGCAATAATTTGTGTGAATAATTTCAAAATTGTTCGGACGTAGCAATAATTATTCTTCGTGAAATATTCGTTTATTGTACCTTGTTTTTGATTTTAACGAATGAAATGTAGTATAAAATATTTATATTCATACGTCATTTGTGGAACATCTGAAGTCTGCAACCAATTTTTCATCGCATTTTGATAATTCAAACGATCTTCTTGTTCTTGAGCACAATTTTCTTGTATTTCATTTCTATTTTTCAGTATACGATTAAGAGTAGAATTATGTAGGCCTAGTATAGATGCAGCTTCTGACGTAGTTGCTCCGCTTTCTATTAGCTCGTCATATTGTTTTAGAAGCTCTAACTTTCCTTGCGAAGATCTAACTTTAGCTTTAGTTTTAGTACTCATTTTGACAGTTTAATGAATAAAACTATACTGAATAATTCACTTAAATCAAATTTTATTTTCAAAATGTACCAATATTTACAAATGATATTCGTATCTCATGATTATGTTAAACTGTTATGTTTGTAACAAGCGATGTGATTTCAATGTAAATAAATACAAATAACTCGGAATCGAATTCGATCGTATATAAAGCATTAAATAATATTTAGTTCACAAAAAGCGTATCGGTTTTTAATTTGATTAACCATCAATACTCGCATCATTGATGTTGGTCAAAATTCAACAGTCAAACTTTTGTTGCTACTATTAATTTCTTGTAGTGATGTTATATGGGCCAATCGAAAAATAAAATGCAGTTTGGTCAGCAAAAAAAAGGTGAAATTATTTTTTTCTTGCCCAGGGACCCGGAAAAAACCCGTGAATGTGAAATGTGAAGATATAGTTATTTATGCAACAAGTACCCTAAAGGCGTTTTGGGGTACAGTGTGCGGAAAAAGGACAAGCATGCCGGCTTCACCGGCACGAGTGGGTGGTTTTTCCGCACAATGGGCGCAAAAAGCTTGGCACGAGTTGCCATACAAAATTATTTCGCAACGGGTGCACATATGGATTTTTAGCAAAATCAGGGATTATAGCACGAGCCAAAGGCGAGTGCTGTAACGAGTGAAACTTTGACATTAAGCATTTTTGAAAATATGCAATAAAGTATTTAAATAAAATTATATTTTTCAATTGGTGTGATATTGTGGCTACGTGAGTACAGCACTCATTTTTTGCTTGTGAATGAATTTCACGTATGGCATATACTTGATATCTCATAAAAAGCTACACTCAGCGTTTGAGTCTTGAATATTTAGTTGGAATGAGGCAATATTTTTACTTTAATAGTAACGTACTGATCATCATTGAAAAACTAATTCAATTTGAAAATAAAAAAAATAGGGAGTAATTGGGGTAATTATAAATGAATGACCAAAATTTTTTCTTGTATATATAATTTATTTATATATACGAATATACACCCACATATCCATAAATATGCAAGTTTACACGTTTATGCATACGTACATGTACTCAATATATAATTGCCAAAAGAAACAGTTTTTTGCATAGCTATAGGAACAACATAGACTGTGTGCTTGAACAAACAATAAAAATTTTATAATAATTTTTTTCTTCGTCTCTAATGTGTAAAAGAAAAAAATTGTTTCACATAACGCATTTGTTGTGTACATTATATACACGTATACGTGATGTAAAAACAATCTTTTGAGTAAAGTTATGATGCAGGTAAACGCGAGTCTGTTATTGACTTTACTGCAAAATTTTATTTTTATAACTCTATTATTTCCCTGTAAAAGAATATTTATTTGTACAAGTCGGTTGAAACTATTCCGATTTTGTTAAAATCACTAGCTTTAAAATCTATTGGTCTATTTTAGTCAAGTCGTGATTGTCGCAAAGCTTTGCATTATTCACTTACTAAATAATATACTTTTTTAGCCTTATTTTTCTCGTGGCACTAAGCTCTCTTGTTTTTTATACTTAAAATCTATTACGCCGTTATGTAATTACATTTACTCATGGACAAAGAAAACTTTACGACAGTCACGACCAGTCGTGGTTGTAAATATTAAATGTGATAATTACTAAATCTGCGTAATTATTTCTGCGTGAACATCCTGTAACAAAATATAAATATCCGTATCTGCATTTGACTCACAGTTGATTCTAAATAACATAGCAAGGTGTTCTCGTTATATAAATACCTTTTAGTAGAGGCCTTTTTGGCTACGTTCGAGGCGAATAAATGTTTTTTGCTTTTTCTTGTTCTTTCCTTTTACATTTTAATCGAAATTCACGCTCTATTCAAATTATGCAGCGATAGTGTAAAACAATTTTGTACACTCATACTTGCGCCATTGAACACGCCCATATATTATTCATAGCAAGGTGTCTCTTATTTCAACAGTTAAAGATCTTCTGCATAGAGCAACTTAAATATTACTATATCATAGAGAATAAGCGGTCCTATGTATATAAATCTTCAACTTTTGAAATAAGAGACACCTGATAGACACATACATTTTGTGTGTTTATATATTCAAATGATCAATTCTCTGTAAAATTGAGACAATCGAATTTTTTTATGATGCAAAAAGTTTGTTGTTTTTAATGTTAGAAGAGCGTCAAAATTTCAATACATTTTTTGTGTCCTCTTACAAATTATATTCAAATATAAATAAAAAATTTGTGCGTCGGTAAAAAAAGAGACTGTTAGAATTATGTAGGTCGGATATGACAAAACCTTGGTTTTAATAGTTAAAAAATCGAAGTTTAGTTTTAGTTTAGAACGCAAGGGCAAATTTAGTATAAATTAGTGAATTTCAGATATGTGTGGATATTTACACCAGAGAAATTTATTGTGTAAGTGAGAAAAAATTACAATTGACTTGAAAGTGCTTGTGAGAGATAGTTTAAATGTTCTACGGATAATAAAAAGTATCCAGGTATGAATTAAACACCATCTAAACAAAAAACAACAGGCTTTTTACATAAAAAAAAAAATTCTAGCCATTCGATTTCTAGCTTGACCATATATTTAAACTAAATAAATATTATATGAATATTTATTCACATTATTACGAGTTCGTGAGAAATAAATTTTAAGAAGCACGTGCGTTCGATAAAAATGTAAAAACCTTTAATACCAAATATCTAAACTTCTCCAGTTTAAACCTTGCTATCTCTCGAACGAGCTGTTTTACATGTTAATGACAGTCACAAAAATATTTCATTGAATATCTGGTAATAAGTTTGCGGTATATAATTTTTAAATACACTTAATCGGATTTTTGTTGTCTTGAATTTTATTTTTTAATAGCGCACAGCCATCGCTGTTCAGGACATCAAAATATGTGTGTGTCTAAATTTTGCGCTAAATATTTTTTATCGTCTTAATAAGTTTTCTATTTATTTCTTTTTAATACATTTTATAAGAAATTTGATGGGGGGTTTATAGCAATATATGCACTTACTTAAACATACTTTCACAATATTTTTACTCTCTTCATTTTAAAAGTTGTATTTATTCTTTTAACGATTATTCGCAATATTCACTTCTTAATTCTATACCCACAACATTGAATCGAACAATCTTTCTCTCGGCTCTCACAATTTTAATGACCATTCGTACATACACAAATACATACATAAACGTCTGAAAATTAATAAACTCTATATTACAAGATTCTCAGGCGACAAAAGGTGTCGAAGGATAAATCAATAGACATTTATTATCACTGATATATACTCTTATAACACGCTTTCTACATACAAGTACATAAAGTTTATCTTTCATACTTTTTTACAATGTGTTATATTTAAGCTATTAATGTTTCTGTCTTTCCTTATCAGTATGGTAGTGCGATAAATCCCTTGAACATTTACATGAGATTCTAAGCAACTTTATTAGAGCTAATCAGTATATCGTACGGGTAAATAAGAAAAAAATTAATAAAACGAGTTTAATATCAACAAATACCATTAAAATAATAATAGTATAGTCAAAGTGCTTATTTTATTTCAATTTCTAAAAAAAATTGTTTTGTTACAGAATTCGTGACCATAAAATAACAATGGTTTCACAAAAACATAATTAAAGTACGCCATCATCTCAAACTATAGATGCGCAATTCCGTTTTAAAAATGGTTCAAACGCAATATAGCACCACAGTTTCTATTTTGCGCACACATCGTTTTTATACTTTTTTCTCATTAGTTTTATAAAATACTTGCTAAAAATTCGTACCACATAACAAGCCGACGATCTTCGATTTATTTTGCGTCCTGCCTTTTTCTGCAGCGCTTGTTCTTTTTTTTTATAAATATATCTTAACAAACTTATACACCTATTTTCCTTTCATTTATGTATAATATAAACAGTATACAGCTGCAGCGCTCTAATATATCACTTCATAAACTGTAGCTTTTTTATCTCCTGATCCTGTGACGATGTATTTGTCATCTGTCGAAATATCGCAACTTAAAACTGATGATGACTCCTTGGACTGTTAAAAAAAAATTAATTGTTAATTTACAGTTCCATTTTAGTTATCGCTTTAAGGTTTCATCAAATGAGATTCTTACTTGGAAAATCGAAGCGCCGTAAGGTGTGCGCCATGCATTGAGAAGGTTGTCCTTGCCAGTAGAAACAAACCACTTTCCACATGCAGCAAATCTTAAAGATAATACACAAGACTCGTGCAAGTGTAGTTGATATTTATCTGGTTTTGTAGCATGTAACACCTCGACGTTAGAATTTTCCATACCCACAGCTAACCATTCGCCAGTGGGACAGTAACCCAAAGAGAAGATTTGCGATGTAAAATCGTGTTGCTGCAGTTGTCGACCTTCTCTTAGATCCCATGACCTAAAAAAATAATAAAGATTAGCGAGAGTTTAAATGTGTCCTAACAAAACAATTTTTAAACTAAAAAATTAGTTGATATATTTACCTAACGGTATTGTCCAATCCACCAGTCCACAGTTTCGAGCCATCAGCTGATATATCGATGCAGGATGCACCATCAGTGTGACCTTGGAATTGTCTAACGAGTGTTTGATTCTGCAAATCCCAAACGGCAATGTTACCGTCGCTGCAGCAACTGAAGCAAACTTTCGAATCCGGCGAGATCGCGAGTGCGTAGCAGGCTGGTGCCGAAGACGTTAGCTCGGCCTTTATTCTGGGTGTGGGACTGGCTAGATCCCAAATGCTCAAGTTGCTGGCCTCTCCACCGACGATGAGTGTTCGGCCGTCGGGCAATAGTTTAACTGATCTAATGTAATTGTCCCGCTGAAGACAGTCTAATTGTGAGACTGGTTTGGCACTGCTGCTACCAGCTTGACTAATGTCCCACACCTTCACGCAACCTTTTCCGCCTGTATACACATACTTCGTCGGATTAGAAATAGTCACTGCGCACACTACTTCGCCATGGGTTAATGTGTTGATTTGTCTCGCGTGGCGAGGTATTCCAGGCCCAATAAGGGCATCTGGCGGAAAGGGCACCGGTTGCATTTGTCCTTCACTTGATACATGAAAACTATATGCTCTGTAAAAAATATGTAATTAATGAAATAGATTTATCTTTTTTGCACCGATACGCAACTTATAATATCAATAATAAATACTCACGGTTTTCCACCGGGTACAGATAAAGGTCCAAGAGGTGCCCTCATATTACCATGATGATCATACAGCTGTTGTAGAGGTGGTCGAGCTGGGTACCCATTAAGAGCTCCTGGTGGATAACCAAGCATATCGACATGTGGACCAGCTGGTGGATGATGTGGTGGATAATGAGGCGGGTAAGGTCCCATGGCTGAAGCCGATACAAGTGGTTTTGACGAGCTTGAGGCCTTGAGACCGCTTGAACCAGAACTGCTGCCTCCTAAAAGTTAAAATAATTATAATTATTCAATTCATTCTATTTATTTAATTCATTTAATCTATGAAAACAATAAATTTTGTCTATTCGACAGAATAGGCTCATGCTTGGGCTTTTTTTAAATCTAGACTATGCTTTTGGGATACAGATCGACTTATCGAACCGTATTAGTTATTTTTTAACCCTTAAGCAAAATTAACCAATAAAAAAGAGAATGGTAAATCATTTTTAAGAGCTTATATTCGTTTGAAAAATCCAATCTTGATATTTGTAATATTTGTTGTTTACATATCAGCAACTGCAGTGAAATTGAATGAAAACCATTCCGAAGTATATAAAAATATTTCAATTATATATAATATCACAATTACTAACCGGCAGAAGTAGGTGTGACGGGCTTGGATATCGGCGTGGTTGGTTTTTCTCTCTCTTCCATTTTTTTGGCCGATGGTGTGCTAGCATTACTACTCGTTCCACTTCGAGGCGACGGAGGTGGTGCCTCTTTTTTGACGCTGCCACCAAGCCCCACGGAAGATGGACCTAATTTTTCTAAGCCATTTTCTCGTGGCGACGTAGTACCGTTGGCAGCAGGACTATTGACATTGCGTCCATCCTCACTTGCATCATCAACAACGAGATCTTGATCACTCTTCTCACCGTCGCTCTGCTGTTCGTTTTAGAAAATTAAGTAATGTTTGTCTTTCATAATAAATCGAATTACCGTTAAAAAGTTGAAAACTTACGTGACTGATGTCTTTGTCTTGTTCTTTTTTCAATTTTTTCAAATGTATGTGATCGTGATGCTGAGATTCAGGCGTACTTCGTGGCCTGGAATATTTTTCACGTTCAGCAGGTGATATCGAATTTCTCTGCAACAAAATAAACAAACGACAAACATTAGATTGGTCATTTAAGTAATTAAAATTTATTTTTCGCTTAAATGGAAATTCTAGATAAAGAATCCGAGAGAAATAATTCCAATAACATCAATATCACTTAGAGAAACGAGCTATTTTTTCTACACCCTCGACTTTCACGATAACGAAGATAAAATAAAAAAAGTGAACCAATATGAATTTATACACAGAGAGCTGTGTGACCCTCAGGAGACTGACTCGCAAAAAAGGAGGGAAGAAGGCAAAAAACCCCCCACGATTCATCGACCGATTAAATGAAATGGCTTCTGTGCGCGTCTGGTCTGAAATTACTTATGCACCCGATGAGAAGGAAGAATGAAAATAATTCGCAAGACGCTCGATCGGCTTTTCTTCTTGCCTACTTTTTTTAGGATATGAAATTGAGCAAAGTCTCGAATGATGCGCCATTGGTAATCAGTTGGGGGGAAGTGTCGAATGTTCGGGGAATATTGATAAATCGACGTATTTTTAACACAATTTTCATTTTCAAGCCTGAAAATGATAAATTGCACTTAAATTGAAAAAAAATATATCAAATGTAATGCAATTAGTGACATTGCAGTTAATAAACTCGATTTAAGAAGAAAGAGAGAAAAAACTACAACAACTTCATTTTAACACGCTAAAACGATTCTAATTAAACTTTCCAGTCTCTTTAGCAGCAGAAAGCAAATGCTTGCCGCGCGCGCTACGCGACTGAAAGCAAAGGGGCGTTAAATTTGTTATACGCAATTTGTCCTGTATATATACTACTTTCTGCCGCTGTGAGGTAATTTCCCCGGGTCGTTACAAGAGGCGAGTGGAGTTTGAATTGATCGCACTTAATTAAGTACTCGGCGAGCTGCGCAAGCTTTTCCTTCAATTTCTACTCCACCCTTCTCGCTCTCTCTCTCTCTCTCTCTCTCTCTCTCTCGCTCTCATTCTCCCTTGCTCTCGGATATATTTATTCAATCCATGTACTCCTTTCTCTGAATTTATAGCCCTGTTTCTACTTTGCCCTAACGCCTTTTTTTCTCCTAGCGCCACCCCCCGGCTGAGAGAAAAGTTGTGTCGACAAGTGAGCGCGAAAAAAAAGAAAATTGAAGCTCGTCGCGTATTACTCAAGTCATATTTTCTCGTTTGCAAGCTCTCGCGCTGTAAAGTACACATAAACATGCGATGGGTATTTATCTTTCTCAGGGAAGTCATCTTGAACGAATTTTTTTCTTCGCTACTTTTTTCTCGGAATATCTTCTCTCTTTTTATAAATTACGTAATTATCGACGAAGTAAATCATTCGTGAACGAGTATCACTGCTGATATATCTAGACTTTAATGTAATTGCGTAAAATCAACCATTGTCTATGTATATACAGGCACTCGAGACAACTCGCAAAGGTATTTCGCAGACCGTACTTTTTTTCAAGGATTTTTCTTACTTCCCTCTGCTTTGCTGCAAGTGCCCTCAGAGTTCGCGAAAGAAACAAAAAAGAAGCTTCAAGCACACTTTTTCGTTCTTTTTCGTACAAAAGAGACACAATCGTTCGTGCGATGAAAAAAACATCGAACTTATGTGTCCAGTTGCCGTATTTGCATGAAAGTGTATATGTACGCGAATGCCGTTAAAAAAGTTTTTGCACCCCTGAAACTTTGAGAAAAAAACAGGCTCGCTGGGGTTCTAGAGATTTATTCCGACTCTTATTTGTCGCAAAGGGAGTTTTACGCAGCTGGCATCATAAGATTACAAGTTCTCGAACCCCACGAAGCAACTATGTATGTGTCAAGCAGCTTTATGCGAATCAGGTGGGATGAGACTTTTTTTTGTAATTCAATCAGTTCAGAGGGGGCCTATGCGTATAGTAAATTATAATATAATTTTAAATCTTATCCCGTGACGTTAGATGAAATCAATAAGTATGAGGGAAAACTTTAGAAATACTAATACTCTCCTCATGGCACCACAACGTGTCCGAGTGTACGGAGGGTATGATAGAGAACTTTTGAACTAACCCCCCGAACTGCGTGAGTAAATCGCCTCTTCTCAATTACCCCCATTTCATGGCATTTGTAGCAGTATAGGCAGCTAAGGCGTATACACAACATTTCGAGCTCCTAAATTCTAGTCTTGTTCGTACAGCTCCATTACCTCTGGCGCCTTCGTGCCGACGGGCTTTTACCGGATCACCAGTAGTAATACTCGGTCTGAAGACATTTCGAGTGCGTCAAATGTATATCAATTACTCAATTCTAAATTCGCTATTTTATTTTTCGTGAATCGCTGTAGCAATAACAGGACGGTAATCGACTTTTAAGCGAATAATTTCCAGGCTGATTATAAAGTCGATCCTCTTTATAAATCGACGCTAACACAGTAGAGGAGTCGTGTCGTCGACGTCGACTAACAACTACGTTAAGGCCGTCTACCGTATAATATACAAGGTATATAACCGAGGTATTTACATGCTCGCGCGAATAACCAGGCAGACCGAGTTAATTGTAGCTCCGCAGCGCCGGTCCCCGTAAACGAGCCCGCGCGCGCAGTAATTGCTTTTTATTAAGATTGTAGTCTGAAAGAGGGAGAGAATAACAGTTTACCAGGCTAAGCTCATACTTATATTGATTTCTTACGAGCGACCGAGCTAATTGCTCGACACCGAAACAGCCTTTTACTTCAGCTTTTTCTTGTAGCTTTTTTTTTCTTTCCGCGGCTACGAAAATCGCTCATGAAGTTGTAAAATTGGTTGTGAAATTTTTTTTCCCTACCTTTTTTCCCTCTCGACAAATAATAAAGGAGGAACGAAAATCGATTTATGTACGTGCGCGCGTACATAAAAGCTTCAAATACAAATACCTCGGTCTCTTATCGAATGAACACGTAAATCAAAGATGTCTAACAGCTGTCTATAAACAGCTTAGCTTTGAAAGCTTTCGAGAAAATCGAGCGAACAGGAAGCTAGCGCGCTTGCACCGTTGAAATGACACCGCCACCACTATATATTTCAGCTAAAGAGTCCCCTACCTATATATACGCTTCGGAGATGATCAGATCAGCGCGCTGGATATTGCTTTGCGAGTTTGCGCGACACCGCAAAATTTTCTCCGTGAAAAATGTAATAAATCATTTTTTTACGAATAAAATGTAAGCAAGTTGAAATGGATTTTTTGGAAATTATTTCAATATTAGTCAAGTAATCATGTTAATATGGCAGTCGAAGATTGAAATAAAACTGAAGAGAAAGATTTCACACATGAAAACACAGCAACCGTTTCGTGTGCCTCCGTAAAAAGAAGTATGGCATACATAAATTTACGTATAACCGTACGAGCGATAAGCATTAAAAAAGTCGAAGACAACGTTGGAAAAAAGTTGTTCCATCTTTCTTGGCATAAAGTCGTCTTTGCTCGTCGTTGAAAAAAGCTGCTGCCACTTTATCTTTGGTTAGTGGCTCTTGTGAAAAGATCGCAGGCAAAAGAGAAAAGAGAGAGAATCTTTCTTTTTGCTTGGGATGATCCTCTGCGATGCCTTTGATGCGTTTTCTCTCTGTATTATATTTTCTCTCGACATTTCATTAAATATAGCTTTTAGCGGAAAGGAACAAGAGAGAATTAGTAAATGAGTGAACTGTGAGTTGGGAGTCTATAGTTTCATCACACCGTTGGCTTATGATATTCTTAATTGCAAATAAATAATATTTACTTATTTCTTCGTAAATATCGTTATAAGTGGATTTGGGTTTACGTTGTTATCAGCATTTTATTATAACTATTATAACTATTGTAACTTTAAACAAACATAAGAAGACATCATTATTTAAATAATCCCAGTAGAAACATATCTCCGAGAGGTGATCTGGCGACAGTAACAGCAATACAAAAATTTTTATGAAAACTAGAAAGTCGTGTTCTTCAGTAGGGTAATATGCACACATCTATATTCCACACTGTTTTCAGATACAATTTGATAAATCATTCAGAATATCTGTGAAAACAGAAAAAAAGAGAAAGAATGAGAATAGGATCGTCAAGCATGGGAGTTGAACGTCGACGATTCGAGACCTCATAAATACAATGCTTGTGCTACAAACTGCGGTTGCGACGCGATTTTCGTAATGTCGCTTGCATTTACATTCCTAGTCTTCGCTTCCCGGCACTTTTTTTCTTTCTCTTTCCGAGCTTTATAACGTGTTCGAGCACTGCTTTAAATTTTAACTCTACTGAGTCAAAGTGCCTTGCATTTATTCTCTATTTCCTTCTCTTTCTCTCGTATAGCTCGGATCTTTCTTTTTATTTCATAGCAGCAGCGCACGTTGAAGAGAATAATTATTTAATGGAAAAGAGGCGTTCGAGTGGTTTTAATTAAAGAATAAAAATGAACTGATGGGCGATGAATATTATAATTAGCTGGGGAAAAGCCGCATAGAGACAAAATTTTTCAAGAGCGAATTTTCACGTGATGAAATTATGGTCCGGGAAATTTGTTGAATTTCACTTATTTATAGGACTTTTGTCGTCATCGAAGTCAATTATATCAGAATTCGTATTTTTTTTTTTTTGCAAGCGCATCATCGATTGCGAGGATCGTTAGTGAACTCGCTTGTTTGTTGCATAGTCTTTGATGAATCTATAGTCGCGTAAACGAATAACACCGGTAAAATTTCGGTTATTATATAGTTAAAAATTAAAAATCAATTTTAGCTTGAAACAAAGCCTTGTTCGTTACTCGTAAAAAGCCATCCATATTTTAACTAAACTTTTCGGTAAAAAGAGCAAAAATACAGATATATAATATATATTGCTTGGCGATTGCGAATTTCGCAAAACAAGACAAAAAGCAAAATGGAAAAGTTTTAATTGATAGAATTTTCAAGTGTATATGTGGACTGCCGAAAGGCCAGAGATGGAGGAGAGCGGAAAAGAGAGCGAGAAAGATAATACGAAAGCTCGCGTGGTAACACGAATTATTTCGAGCAGCG